CTTTGACAGGGATGAGGATGGAAATGAGATTCCTTTCCCGATTGACGAAGACCACGAATTGGATGCTTACTTGACCCATGTCCACGGACGAAAGGCGCTTCTTGTGTTCACCTTGGGCCAGATGTGATTAACTGGCAAGGTTTGAAACAATGGTATTTCTTTGATGGAATTAAATATCGATTAAAGGCTTTGTTGAAACAACTGTCCTCGCATCCATGGATGTAGGTAGCCCTAAGGCGAGTTACGAGATGACATAACTAGCCTGAGAGTGGCCATAGATAGTACAGATAAATCATGAAGTTTTTTTTGAAAGGTTCAAGACCCGATACATATACATTGTTCGCTCTTCACAATTCCAATGTTCAAAAAGGAGAAAATCCCCGGCCAACCGCTATACCTGTGCACCGAAAAAGAGACTACAAATTGTTTCGATCTTCAGGTAGAGCCCAGTGTTTGAACCACATTCCTGAAAAGAACACCAATAGCAGGCAAAGAGTAAGCAGGAGTATCACCAAAGACACTGGCCAATCCCTTGGCTTGAGCAGACGAATCGGTGTCTTCGTCATTCTGTGCAGGAAGCCTCTCTTGGCCCCGAGTGAAGAGACTCGCAAGCCCACTGTCAATGTGTCCGGTCACATCGCGAGACTGGTTGTTCTGGCTCTTCTGGGATGCCTTGTCCATACAGCCAAGTCGCTGCACACCCACTGCGCTGTCAATGACGATATAGTCACCTGAATAAGAATCCGAGAGCAACGCAACTGGGGAGATCTTGAGGGTCTCTTGGAAGACAACTTCGAATGACGGGACATCATAAATATTGATTTGGAATCGGTTCTTGCCACGTTTTGAGCCACGGGTAGCAATTGCCAACGACTTGGTTCTAGCATTCACAGCAATCAGCTGTGAGTTGCCCGCGCCTGGCAAGTCAACAGACTCTGAGGACTGGATGGTCTTGACAATGTCGTCAACGGTATCCCAAACGGCAACCGAATGGGTGGAAGCAACAATTAAATGGCTTCCCAGGAAGCTTGTCGAGCAAGGATTGCCCAGAAAAACACCGGTTCGTCGGTAGTGCACAGCACAGTTCCGTGCGTCGATCAAAAGAACAAGGCCATCGTTGGCAGCCGAGGTCGATGGCAGGCAGACAGCCAGGACTGAGCCATCCTCGGAGAAGCTCATGCTAGCTGTGTCCAGAGGCGAAGCTTGGGCGTTGTCTAAACATCCCTTCAGGTCAACAAGACCTCGACACTTCCAAGTACTCTGCTCCGGTTGATCTTTAGCCTTCAAACCGCTGCGATATCTAGCCGTTGGACACCAGAAACGAAGAACAGAGTCCGACCCTAGGGTTGCAAACTCGTGAGCACCGGGGCGGGATGCCAAACCAAGGACGGTCGATTGGTGATTCTCGGCGAAATGAGGACCGTCAATACGTGTAACAAGTTCCCATGTATCAGATGAAGCATCCCACTTCCAAAACTTCAAGAAAATCTCTGGACGAAGAGCAGCAATCGATTTCGGGGAGCTGCGGTCAAGTGCCTCCACATCTTTAGCGTGTGGGACCCAAGAGTCAACCGTAGCCAGCCATTTTGCATCATGCACAATATCCATATGTTTGACATCGGGTGCGACAATCTGGGACCCCTCTGGGCTGACGCTCAAAGTGGTCGCATTGGTTCGTGCAAGAGCTTGACGGGAAATGTGGGAGTTGGCACGGATGTCATATGTCTGAAGCACAGCCGCGTTTGCAGGTTGAGAGCCATGTTGATTTTGAGTAAGCTGGTGGGAAGCTGGTACGGCCACAATTAGTCGCTCTGGTTGCTGCGGGTGCAACTTCGCCACAACGGAGCTCTTTGAGGGTTCCGCACGGCCTCCTATGTCTGGGCATAGCTGCAATCCGGTGATAGTGGCGAGGGGCTGCAGTTCTCTCGTCGACATAACCATGACCGAGTTATCGGCCAGTTTAATCACATATGAGCTACCACTAGTAGAGACGACAATGTTGCAGATAGGGGAAGAAAGATGAGGGAGGAATTGCTTCCGGCCTGTGTCTAATTGCCAAAGGACCATAACTGATTCTTGGCCACCTGAGATAATATAATTACCTGTGAAAGAATGAGGTAAGTACTCTCGCTCGAATGCTCGAATCCAGGCGCTATAGGGGTTACATACCATCTTTGGACCAACGTACAGTGTTGACAGATCCTCGGTGCCAGTGCAACTTCCTGGGGGAAGACTTCTTATCGCTGGTTTCTTTGCCAAAGAGGGTGTTCAAAACATTCTGGTAGATTAGAATGGAACCACCACTCTCTCCTACTGCCAGGTCGATCGAGTCTGAGCCTCGGATATCAAAGCAAGTAGCATTGACGGGAAGGGTGGCCTCGCGCCAGCTGTACTGAACAGTCTCAAGATTTCTGAGCTCTGCGCTGGTTGTGGTACCCATGAACAGGCGCTGGCCATCACTGGCAACGATAACACGGCCGTCGTGAGTGACCTTGATGCTATTGATCCTCTGGCTAGTTTCGAGGGCGTTGGTGCCTTGGATCTTCTTGTCTCCCAGCGTACTGATAGAAATCTGCCTTTTTCCATCCTTTTGCGATGTGATAGAAAAGGAGATAGTAGTTTTGTTTCCTTCCTTTTCAATGGAAGCCAAGCTCGTTGAAACGGTTGTCGAGGTGGTTTCCCAGCGAGAAATGCGTTTCCCGGAGCTCCAGTTCCACTTGCTGATAGAACCTGAAGATGTGAAAACAAATAAGTTTTCTTTGTCTTCTGGGCAGATGCTAAACCCAATGATCCTTTGGCCAGCTTCCATTTGCAAAGTGCGCGACAGGCGGGAGGTAGCGGTTGCGAACACTTGAATGGCAGTGTCGAGACAGACTAGGAGATATCTGCGATTGAAACAGGTCAGGATGAGTTTTATAAGATTTCAGGAAGGTGATTCTTACGCCTCATCGTCAGTCAAGATTGGATCCAAGTTGTTGTATCTGCCGCCAACAGGACGAGAGAATGACCACGGCGCGGGGCTTTTTTGCATGTCCACGTCTTGTGTCTGGGCATTGCTATTGGAAGCGTCCTTCGCCCCGTCAATTGGCTCTTCCGTATTCAAGTTCGGGCTTCCATTGCCCCCGGAGACTCTGCGCCTTTTGGAACGCTCTTCATTGGGCCGAGCAGGCTTCTCGGAGGCCGCATCACTGAGCCGGGATCGTTTTTGGTGTCGTGCTGACTGGTTGGCTGGCATTATTGCTGATAAATTAGGGTCAAATCAATATTAAAATCTGGGCGAGAAAAGACGCGACTCAGATAGTCATAGCTCTCACAAATCGGAGCAGAGTTGCAGCGACTCGAGTCTGTTGATCTTCATGGCAGATCGGACTACTTTTTTTTCCAAAGATAAAACAAGGCGGGGAATGTCGGCAGAAAAAGCGCAGTCGTCCTCATTGGGTTAGCCTCGACTTCTGTGATCTTCCGGGAAAAAAGTCTGGTTCACAGCGACATCATTTCTTTTTGACTGACTTCGCCCATCTCTCACCTTGAATCGCCGAAATGATTATCCCTGTTCGCTGTTTCTCCTGCGGAAAGGTAGGCATCCCTCATTAAATCCGCGTATTATCGTTTACTGAACTTGTCATTGTAGGTTGTTGGTGACCTTTGGGAGCGTTACTTGCAGCTCCTGGACGATGGTGTTCCCGATGGGTAAGCCGGTCTCATTTTGTTTCGGTTGTTTCTAGCTGACAATCCGGGTTTGTAGTGACGCTATGGACCAACTTGGCTGTAAAAGGTACTGCTGCCGACGAATGGTCATGACTCATGTGGATCTGATCGAGAAGCTCCTTCGGTGCGTCAAAAGAGGGAAATCCATGTCTTCAGTTGGAAAGTGTTACTCATTATGCACAGTTACAACTCCGCCGAGAAGGACCGCTCCAAGGCTCAAGTATAAAGCCAGTCGGTTCACCAGTCGAGACTTACAACCTGTTGTCCTCATGCCGAAGCTTCCCCGCCGCCAAAGAATGCACAATCGTCACGTCTCTCCTTTCTGCTCGACCATTAAACCTCCCACCATCCACCACTGCTTTTCCTCGGTCAGAAGAAAGTGAGCGCAGTTTGACAATGGCCATCGATAAAGCGTGCGAGCTTGATAGTGGCTCTCGATCTCAGTCAATTTTCACCATTGACCATTACCAATTCGAGAATGTGCCATGTCCAGTGAGGTGGTTTTGGATATGAGCGAACCAGGCCTCGGGGATGAGAGAAATCCCCCGCAGTTGGTTCTTCTGGGTTTTGCATTTAGGGTGGCGTTGCACACTACACAGTGGGATATGGCGTAAAGGAAGGCATTTGCGTTTTAATTTATCGTTATCTTCAATGAAGCTTACAACTCAGCGAGTTGCAGTCTGTAGTCTGACCTAGAGTACGAGTATAATCAATATACTTCCAGTCCGGGGGAGAGATATAATGCATCATGGTCTTTGGCTATAAAGAATGGGGGTGTCTTCCATCTGTACACTCAATCAGAGTTGACTATCGGGGAGATTCCAACTGTTAAAGGTGACAGCTAGAGCTCACAGCTCCCTTATATTTACAAGCCAAGAGCGCGTATACTTTGAGCCCAGCTCAACCAATCACGGTTTTTGCCATATATTCCCAACCGATAACCGACAGTTAGGCGCCGTGATGAACATGCATCAGGACCTCCACCGGCCACTCATATCACGCGGGGCTGCATCCGACTATACTCCATAGAGGACAAAAGCGCTTACCACATTTTACGGCCAATTGAGAGCCACAGTGTATTGATACAATTGGTTATACTGTATTCAATATTATTGTTCTCGTATTGGCAATGGGGTGAAACCCGCATAGAATACACAGCACTTCATCTGAGCTCCTTAAGTCCATCACGTGTATAGTACCAGGTAAGCGATAACCAGGCTCAGCTCCTCCCCTCTTCTTTCATTGTTCCCCAAGGATTCTTTTCGAACCCACTGTTCATACTCTTGGCCATGATGGCCGTCAGGTCGCCGCTATCTGTCCTACCCTATCGCGACGCTGCAAGCGCGGCCTACTACTCTCCACGCTCGGCCCCTATGTAAGGTCCATGTTGCGTAGAGACTGCGCGGCACTGATGTGTGAACAGGTCTATCGATGGCGTTTCCTTCGAGGGCACTGAGAGTTCCCACTCCTCGCCTAATCTGATAAACCGAGACATCTTATCAGGGGCCTCGGCCCCCAATGAGGACAAAACAACTGGAGGTAGCCCTGCAAAACCAATACGTGGATCGCAAACATCCCCTCAGCCTGAGCTCACAGTATGTACCAGCGGCAGCAGATTGGAAACGACTGTCTGGGGTGGGCTCTGATTCTCATAATTGAACAGGTCCAAACCGGGTATACAAATCACGGCCTCAGCACAAGATCGGATGAGGACGAACCCCCACAATCAGTGATACATGCTCCACCTGGGTTCGGAGACTTTGTAGGAGTTCCACCATAGGCTACGCAGCCTATAACGTACCGTTTTGATATGTTGGCTAACGGCGAACCTACGCAAAGGCATCAATGCAACCGACGCTCGAAGGTCCCGATGAGTCGCAATCATCATCCGGCTCAGATGAACAGAATGTTTTAATAAGTGTACCAACAAGGACCAAAAAAGTGATTTAGTCCCAGAGCCTCATTGTGTAACTTGCTAATAGCCCGATCTATACAGGGCAACAGTCCAATCTCACCCCCTCCGTTGACAACTACCGTCGACCCAACAATCGATTGCTCTGAGCGAGCAACACCCCGTGCACAGACGAGACATGAGTTTGATGAATTTGACCGACGTACTCGTTCAAGCAGTTTAGAAGGTATTGTACCCGACCTCTTCAATATTTCTCCTCAATAGGCATTTGGCTGACATTTGATAAGATATCCCCGAAGGTACAAAGACAATGATAACTTTCATACTACTTCGGACGACGCAAGGTACTGACTTCGCTGCAGGACTAACCAGCAAAGAGGCCGAAATCAATGCTCTGAGAGATGCTCTCGCTGAATGTTGGACACTATGTAATACACTGGCTAATCTCAGTTATATCCATCGCGAACGCCTCTTGAAATCCTACAGTGATGATATGCAGGAGGATGCCTGGAGGTCATGTTGGAGACTTTGCCAGAAACTCTATGACACACGAGACGACGACTATGCATCCCAAATTCATCCTACTCTGGATCTCTGTCGAGATTTCTGCCAAGCATTATTTGAAGCCCGAACCCGGGACGCTGATGTCTCTGACTCAGTCTTACGAGTCAGCTTTGAACTGAATAATCACCTGTACAACACCCACGATCGAAATCTCCCAGATGCTTTCCGTGAGAGAACTTTGGATTTCTATATTACATTATGCCATCGACTTATGAAGCAACGGATCCGTATGACGGAAACTGACTCTTTGCTGAGTGCTTGCTGGACATTAGCTGAGATGCTGTTTAGCATTCGCCAAAGCAAGAGAGAAGATAAGCCACTGGATGAAGAGCTGCTGGGGTCAGCGGTCCAGGCGTGCTGGGAGCTTTGCGACATCTTCCGCGAGGGTTGGACATTGCACAACTTGCGCAATTCTGATCGGGGGACCCCACGGCCAAGCCAGACTACTTTCTCACAGGCATTCCATCAAGCGTCTCAACAGTCGGAGATTGATTTTGGGGATGACCCACTTAGCCAACTCGGCAACCCTGAAACCCCGACGACCATCTTTGAGGATGCAACCATCTCCCCCGACGAGGCACCGATCCCCAATATTCTCGTTCTAGGATACGGTAATACTCACGACCCCCACACCAAGTGGTCATCTAATGCATCGAGTATCTCGGAAAAGTCACGGTCATCGGGACATACGGCTTCCTCGGTCAACACTGTGACCACCGTCTCAGAGGACCCCAACCTCACGCGGTTGAAGATTCTAATCACCAGAGCTGCTATCGACAGTGGATATCAGCGAGGCAGTACCCAGAATCTGTCCTCATTCGTGAAATCGCTTCCCTCTGATGCCTTTGGCTCTGCAGCCTGGCAAACCTCGTTGCTGAAAAACTATAGAAAGGTCGTGTCATTTGACCCGGCATTCCGAAACGTCGGCATACAGGCTCGGGCAGGTGCCATCGATGTCGCGCATGCTTGTCAGGCGATGCTGCAAGGTGGCCAGTACTCCTGGCTTCGCGACCTCTACCGTTTTGTCTTCGGTTTCCATCTAGAAGAATCGATGGGTCGCAAAGGCGTGACTATCCAAACGTAGCTTCAATGGCTGATCCGCGAGTCTTTCGGCCCTAGCTTGTCCTATCTGCTGTTTCGCTGGCAATACAAGATCTATTGGCCCTTCGTTGCTTCTTAGAGACCGAGCCGAGTTTGGGTTGGTAGGACGTCAGTATCTAAAGGGGAGACGAGGCCTAAGCCTCATTTCGTGGACTCAGGAATTTTCTTCTATTATGTACAGGGCTTTGATGCGCTATGTTTCCTCTGGCTTAATTCCAGGATGTTCTACTTTCCTATGGGGTTGGCGGAGTTTGGATTTTGCCGGTACATACCTCTATGTATAACCGGGCATGCTGTGGAATATCAACACCCTTGATGAGAGGAATATCCCCTTCGGCTTGGGAGGCGACGTTTGTGGGACTGTTACCATATGCAGATTCTCTCAGGTATCATAGTTGAAACTCGCCTTGTCTGACCGTTATTTTGCACGTCTCCTTCAATATCAAGTTGCCATAAGCACACTCAGGCCTGGCTTAGAAGCCCAACACCTGTCAGCTCCAGGACACAGGATATTCTTGCTATAAAAAGTGGATTTTACTTCTTGCCTTTGAAGCCAATGCAACTATCTCCAAAGCACACCGTCGTCTGGTCTCGGAAAGAAACAAAGGACACGTTTCTGCATTAGCCACTAGCCAAAGCCCTCTGCACCCTCTCTGCGAGTGACATTGAAGGACTTCCCCTCTGTACCTGACGCTCATTTTCTACTAGCATTTACTACCTCTCTCTCGTCTTGGGCTTGAAGTGGGAAATGCTAGTCCGATGTGCATTCTCGGGAGACGTCTATAGGAGTCTATCCATGACTGCGACAATGGGATTACGCCTCTTCGGCTACAATCAGTTCATCTCGGACTCAATTTTCTCGCTAACAGTCATACAGAAAGTGTTATAAGTAGTCACCGATGACCTTCCCGCGTTGGCAATTCAACCCTGGAAGGAACAGGCACAGCACTGTATGAAATTGGTACGTCGTTCCAAAGGTTCGTGGTCTCTTATTGATGTTAAGGTTGCCTTTTCGAAGCCATATTGATGCTCGTCTGAGATGATTGGGCTTGTCGCAAGGGAATCATCAGCGGTGCTATTTTCATGATTCTCGTGGTTATCCAGGTTACTTGCTACGCTGGCAACTCTCATCTATTTTTGGTGGTATCAATGTAGTTCTCTATGCCATATTTGCTATAGCCTATTAGTTTCTGATTAAGGGAGTTAATCTTAAGCTCTTCCTATACGGTACCTTTGGTCTGATATTTTCGATGATGATCATCTTTGCATATCTCTATGCCCCAACCAAACAGGACCTGCTAAAGGTGCCGCTGTTAGTCCCTTCACATATATTGCTAGTTTTGGCGCCACCTGGCTTCCTTTGCCGTTGCTCAACCCAGCTAAGCCCCTATCGAGACGCGTGTGCGCAGGCATGCTCGAACTGCTTATTGAACTTCTTAATCGCGATGGTCATTCCTATCATGATTTCCAACATTCAGCGGGGCACTTGCCTTTCCTTTGCTGTTGTTAACGCTTGCTTCTTGTCTATCATATACTTCTTCTATCCGTAGACTGCTTGTCACTCTGTGGAGTAGGTAAATCTGATCTTTGCCAGGGGGTTCTTGGAAGCCCTATCATGAGCATGTCCGCTATCCGGGACCGATTTGGCGTTTTTGAGATCTAACGTCCAGCATTGGTGATAAACCGGATCACTCAGGTGATAATAACGAAAAGATGTACCAAGATATCTTAGAATATTCCGAGTAATGCTTTTCTCGACAAGGCGTAGAGGAACTTTCAGAAATACGGTTTTTGCTAGGCATGAAATTTTGTAGCTTAAATATTAATATAAATGCTTAGTAAGCAAGGCTGGATACACTATTATTATGATTTAGAAGATATATAGATTTACTAGTAACATACCCGTTTAATGGTATTTACCCGCTACCCCACTAAAATATTACCCCTCTAACTACCTACCATTTTATTTTTCTTGCTATACTACTACGTATCCGATTATAATAAAAACCATACTAAAACGTAGAAAAAATGCTAAATTAAGCTATAAGTAAAGGTTAGCTATCATCTATGCTTATAACAACAGTGTTTCGTAGTTATAACTGGCTAATAATTTTAGCTATACCTATAAGGCTATCTATGATACGCTTAAGCGCTTTAAATAATATAATTCGACTAAGTCCCTTTCCTAAACCGGCCGTCCGAAGCTTGACTCTCGAGCTTGCTGATTTCACTATTTATAAGCGTGTCGGCACCTATACTAAATTTATAGGTAGCTTAGTACTACGATGCCTAGTTACCTATCTTAGTCTATTATATAGCGAGTCTTTAAGTAATTCTGTTTATCGAAACGGCGCTTAAATGAAAGATACTAATTAAGCTCTATATTCTAAGAATGCGGCTGATATTTATAAGAAACCAGTGGCGAGAAAGCTTCTAATCGTAGATCTTTTTAGATAAGTGTTTAGTATAATAAAGTACATCCGTGCGATTTAAAGGGCCTTTACCGCGATTTCGTGAATATAAATGTTTACGTTACAGATATTTTATAAATAGGTTAGACTAGAATTTAACTTCGAAAATGTCTAATACTACTTTGTATCTTTAGGATGGTATTTTAACAATATAACGCGAGGATTTACCTAGCGTATATAATAAAAGAGTGGTTTAAAACGCGGGGGGGGTATACGTTAAGAACTAGTAAACTTCTCCAAAACCCAACTTAGGTCCGACTTCTATAACCTAACCTAACCTAAGACCTAATGCTAGGTACCTATTGGGGCCCTAAGAAAACCCAATTCTGCAGAATTTTTTCAGAATTTTCTACACTTATATTATATGCATTTCTCTACTATTTACGGTTAGATTTAATCCAAATTTTTATTAGATATAGATCTAGATCTAATATATATATATATATATATATATTAAATTTAAAGTGAAAATATTAAGTATTAGTGGAGATAATAAGCTAAAGGTAGATTTTAAATTTAATAATTTTTGAAGTTTATATATATTTAAGATGGTAGTAGTAGTCATACTATTTTTTTATGACCCTCTATAATTTATTTGGATTTTTAAAAGTCTAATAAGCTATTATATTATTGTAATTTATATAATTTATATATTAATTCTATTAAATATTCTAAATAAATATAAAATTCTATATATAAAGGGATACAAAATATACTATAAACGTACTATATTAAAAAACTTAGCGTATTTATAGTGTTTATTACCTAATTAGGTACCTAGGGGTTTTGTTAGGTTACCTAGTTAGACCTAAAACCTAACCTAAAGCTAGGTTAGGTAGGGTTAGGTCCGGGTCTAATTAGGTCGTGGAGAAGTATAAGGACTAGGCTACTTACCTACCTAATCTAATTATAATTAACCCTATATAGCGCTAGGCAAAAGTAAAGCTTATTAAGATCTTTCTAGAGCTTATTAGTATAAGAAGAAAGGAGGTAGACTAGTATTATTTTAAATAATAGTTAGTAGAAGCTTAGCTTATATTAGATTAGGCTAAGATAGATACGCTAATATTAAGTATAGTAGATGCTTAAAAGTAATATAGAAGGCCAAGGGCTATTATATAAAATATTAAGCGAGATTTTATTACACTAGTATTAGTTAGGCTTATTAATTCGTTAGAATAATATATAATATAGTGGTACTATATACTATAATAGTGATATATATATTTTAGAATAGTAGCCCTAAATAGTAGATAGGTAACTAACTACTTTAGACCTATATATATATACTAATATAGGTTAGGTAATAGGATCTCCCCTATACATTATACTATATCGTTTATATTTATAGAGCTCTATTAGGGCGTTATTCTCTATAACTACTATAGATCCTTTCTTACAGGGTCTAAATTATTAGATACCTTATAAATTCACTATTTTTAGGGATATTATCTACTATTTACTTAGTATATTAGTAGGGTTCTTCTTTCTAGCTTTATATTATATTATAAAATTGACAATTTTACTACATATTTAGACTACTAGGCCTAATACCTATATGGGGCTTTATAGTTATATAAAGTATTATATTTATATAGTAAGTGTTATAGTAGGGTATTTACTATTTATCTAGCGAGCTAGGCCCCCCAAAAAACACTATAGTAAATACGATATATTCTACACTAATACCTTAATAACCACAATTTTATTTTACTTAATTATATACCCGTTTAAAAGTATTTACCCACTCCACTTTTTCGGGTGTATTCTTAATATATATATATATCACTTATATAGTATATAGCACCGCTATTTTATAGTCTATAATAATATAATTAAATTTTAGGGTTGCTTAACAATAGCGCTTTCGAAAATTCGATTAATATTTTGTATAATACCGCTTAGCCTTCCGCACTACTATTAAACGTCTTATTATACTTGATATTAGCGTATCTATCCTTACTTAATCTAATACCCTCTAAGCTTCTACTAGGCATTTTTTTAAAATAATACTAGTCTATCTCCGATCTTCCTATACTAATAAACTCCGGAAATAATATAAAAGCTTCACCTTTAACTAGTAATATACTAGTTTAACTAGGTTTAAATTAGGTAAGTATAGGGCCAGTCTTCGACGTATACTCTATAAGTTTTAAACTACTCTTTCGTTTCCTTCGCTAGGTAAATCCTTACGTTATCTTACTAAAATACTAAATTAGGGGTGTAGATTAGTATTAGACCTTTTTCGAGCGTTAAAATATACGACTTTATAGTATAGCCCCTCTCTAAAGCCGATTCTTCGTCCTATTTAATAATTATTAAATATATTCGACCTCCTAGCTAGATTCCAGCCTAAACTATTTATAAAATATATTTAGCGTATAATTTTATATTTATAAGGTCTTTATAAAGGCCCTCTAAGACTATACGAAAGCACTATTATAGTCTAAAGTTCGAAATTCGTTATACCGAACACTCGTCCGAAAAGATCTATAATTAAAAGCTTTCCTAC